TTGGCCAGGACAAGAGTGGACACCACGATCAAGTTTTGAAAAAACAAATGGACGCAACTTTTGCTAACTTTTCCAATTGCAATGACCATTGACGAGCTGCCACATGGCGCCCTCAATGGCAATGGCCTAACGACTATAGTTGTTGTGCTTTTTTGTTTTGTTTTTTTTCCAGTTCCTAACTATCTTTTTTTTTTTTTTTTTTTTTTTTTTTTTTTTTATTCACACCTCTTACCTAAAAAATCTCTCAATTACTCCAAACATTTCTACTTGTTTGTCTTTTTTCATTTTGCTCAAAATTGCTGTTCCAAATTATGGCTCAAAAATAAATTTTCGTGTTACTTTTCTTATGCTTTGTTTTTTGTCACAAATAAAATAATAATAAACTAAAATAACAAGTTTTGAGTTTTAGTCCCTAGTCCACACCACCACTAGAACCACAAAAAATTTGAGATGCTAGATTTTGTGAATAGTATTATTTTGAGGGGCTACAATGACATCTAGCCCCTTATCCCTTACCCTTGCATGTATGATGGTGGTGCGACTTCTATACTAATGATCATGTCTTGAACATGTAGTTATGACATTGTATTAATTTTTCTAACTAGTCTAGATTTTTAGTTAAAAAAAATTGATAATATGATACATATCTAAATAATTTTTTTTTTTCTTTTAACAAAGTAACTTTTTATGTTTATTTTTTCATAATGGGGCAGGTCGGAGAACCTGTTCCCCAATGAAGGTGGGAATGGAGATTCCCCAACTTGAAGATTGCAAGTAAGGCTGAGATAGGGAAAAAAAAAACTTGGAATAAGGATAGAATAGCATACCCACTCATGATTCGACCCATTGTCATCCCTAGCAATATTATGTTAACGGTAATGCTAGGGAGACCATCTATTTGTACCATATTTGTACCAACTGATGTGGCTGTTGAGTTGGTTATGCCACATCATTAAGTGAGTTTTTAATATTTTAATATTTTTTTCACCTTTCACTTTACAGACTCATTTAAATCATATTAAAATCATTATAAAAAAAAAATTAAAAAACAATCTCCGCTCTCTCCTCCTACCTCCTACCTAGCCAACCCTCTCTTCCTCCTTCCTCAACCTCACTTTTCAACCACCCTTCTCCCGTTGCCCATCCTTCCCTCAGCCATACTCTTGTACATGTACCTACCCTCAACCATACACCAGATTTCCCAAACATTGAAAAGTGAATCTCACCTACAGGTGTAGGGTCGAAATCTTTTGAACAATCACAAGGACACAACCTTTCTCCAGTGCAAATACACACCGCCACTAAACAAAAACTAGCCTCACAGAAAAAGTTTGTTTCCAAATTTGCATAATGTCCAATCAGATATCAAAAACCCATTTCAAGTTCTAGGTTACAAACTCATAATATCAATAAAACTCAAAACTTGACTGCACTTGAATGATTTCTAGGAATGTGTGAAATAATGGCAAAAATAAATTAACAATATCCAATCAAAAATGCCCATTTCAAGATCTGGGACCTGAAATGAGAATCTGACAAACTCAATGACTGGTGTATGGCCGAGGGAAGGAACGATGGGCGACGGGAGAGGGGTGGCTGAAAGGTGGGGTTGAGTAGGGAGGCAGGGTTGGCTAGGTAGGAGGTAGGAGAAGAGAGCAGAGATTTTTTTTAAATTTTTTTAATGATTTTAATATGATTAAATGAGTCTGTAAAGTGAAAGGTAAAAAAATAATAAAATATTAAAAACTCATTTAATGATACGGTATGTACACTCAATAGCCACATCAGTTAATACACAAATATAGTACAAATAAACGATCTCCCTAGCATTACCCTCATGTTAATACCCAAGTTTCAAACAAGTCTTTTACAGATAATTAGCATTGACTGTTAAGCAACTTCCAATTTACATAAAATGAACTGGGTATTGGAATAATTATCCACATTTTGTATTTAAAACCATTTAGTTTTGGTTGAAATAACATTAATTGGTTTTTTTAACATTCCACCGGATACATTCTGACTTATAGGTCTTGGTCTTCTTGGGTTGACCACGGGCTGGTCAACATTAGTAGTCAAAAATGCCCCTGTACGATGAGCGTTGGGCCTTAGACGCAGTCGATTCTGTTTGGTCAATGTTTTGACCATTTAAAATGGGCCTGGTTTGTTGGGTCTCAGTTACTCGAACCATATAATTGATCCAAATACCTGCGAAATTGGGCCATGCTAATTTTGGTCCAATAGAGTGATTATTAAAATTTATTTCATTTAGAAAGGCAATTTTAGGCAATGAAGATAACTGTAGAATATTTTTCTCAAATCCTTATTGCTTGGGAAGTCGTAGCTTCACTTAAGTTTAATGAAATGATCATGTAATTAATATGAAGGTCCTCATAAGAAATTCATATATAATACTCTCACTATAGAATTTTGCATTACTCGGGAGCCTCTCAACTTAGGCTATTTCAAGCTCAATGTTGATGGTTCCCGAAAAGTGTGATTCTAATACCAATTGAAGCTGTAGGAGTAATTCGTGTGGGATTAGACTGATGGCTTTGTGGCTGTTTCTTTTCTTTTTTCTTTTTTTTTGGTCGAAATCCAAGAAGTTTTTTTGGTGGAGGCTTGCTGTGGAACAAGGTATTAAGAACCTGATAGTCAAAATGGACTCTGCTACTGCAATTATGCTACTTCGGAAGCCTGTGTTACATGCTTTCCATACCCAGGCTACCTTGTTGTCCAGTTGTGGTTAATTTCTAGGCCCCGTTTGGTAAGCTAGCTTGGACTGGTTAGGATAGGCTTTTAAGTATTAGATTAGGCTGGCTTGGACTGGCTAGGCTTTAAGTCCAATACTATTCATTTTTGCACCAAACAACATACTATAATTATCTTTTTTTTTTTTTTTTTTTTTTTAAATCAAACTTTTATTTTATTAACAATAATCATATGCAAAATTCCAACTTTTTGCCTCAGTGTCTTTTTTTTCCTTTTTTTTTCTTGCACTTTCTTCCTCTGTTTTCCTTTTTTTTTCTACTCGAAATTTCAGTATCTTTCTTTATCATATAAATTCATATTTTTTACTAGAAAAAGAAAAAAATGTCATTCTTTTTCTATCATAATAAAATATGTCTTTGTTATTATATAATATTTATAAATAAATAAAAAGATAATTACAAGAGAGAAAAGATTGTAGACTAAAAACAATATTTTTTATAAAAAAAATTTGTTGCAAATTTTGGAAGGGAACAAGATCTGAAGATATCTAAATGCAAGTGAAAAAAAAAAAAAAAAAAAAAAAAACTCATCATCTAACCCAAATCTTCCAAATCTTCAATTCTAGAAGGGAAATAGAGATGAATGATTTTTTTTAATAAGAGAAAAGAGATGAGAGAAGAAGAAAGACGAGAGACGAGAGGAGAGAGGAGACCACGCAGAGCATGCTGAGGGAGCAATGCAAAGCATACTGAGGGAGATGACGCGAGAGAAGAGAAGACGAAAGCTCATTTCCACAATCTTCGAAACCCATGTCTCAGCGTGGGTTTTCAAATCCAGTGTATGCTGGATTGGTATCCGGAATTTTGTTTAAGTCATAACCAGTCTGTGATCCATTTAAGCCCACCAAACAATAGACTAGACCCATGTTCATTTTAATTAAATTTAACCGGTCCAATCCAGCCTACCAAACATGGCCCTAAAGCATTTTGATCAATGTGGAACTAAGCAGATTTATAGAGAAAAGAACATGGTTGGGGATTGCTTGGCCAAGGAGAGTTACAATTTTGACTTTGGGCTGCTTGTGTTTGCTGATGAGTCATTCTACGATGAGGATGTCATATATGAACTATAGATGAAATCATATCAGCCATGTGATTCATCTAAATAACTTCATTTAAGTTTAACGTAATGATCATGTGGCTAATATAAATGTACACATGAGGAGTCCATATATAGCACTCTCACTGTAGAATTTCGCAAATGATGATATGTTATAAGTTCATAGATCTCTTACTATCTCTATTGTTTAGTTTTTGTGTTTGGGGTTGATCCCCCATTTCATCCAAAAAATAGTAGAAATTAAAATTACACATCACACCCATATCCATTCATTGTCCCCCACATTATAAAAATCACAAGATAACTAAAAAAACAAAGGAATCCCAGTACATTATTCTCATCTCTGAACAAATACACATACAAGCATACATAAAAAGACACATCCAAACCACAATACAGCTAAGGTGTGCAGTACGTACCACCACCACCACCATCATATCCCTCCACACCCCAATTATTTATACTCACACACGATACTGACAAACTCAGGAAAAGCACCACACTGCAGAAGCAAATCTCCACATTCAAACTAGAGATCTCCCTAACCACGAGCCCATACATTTCTCTGTACAACAACAACAATTACTTTCCACACCCACATGTAAAACAATCTCACCTTTTGCTGCTGCTGCATTATTTGATCAGAAGAAAGGGCCCCACCTCAACTCAGCACCAAGCAATATACTCCCCCACACCAGAAACTTTCTCACCTTTAGAACTTATACCAATATGACGGGACTGAGAGAGGTAAAAGAGAGAGAGAAAGCAAAGCACAAGAGAATAAAATCAACAAGAAAAGGAGTAAAGGTAGGGCCCGATATACCTAACGCGCATGCACTAAATCCACAGGGGTCTTCATTTTACAGCACAGCCCACCACTAAAATCTCCCATGCGTTTAAGTCTTTGGTGACTTTCCTTAATCTTTAACACCCAAAAAGCTAAAAGATAATGATTTCTGGTCAACAAACATAACCCTTCTTTGATCATCTCCAGCGTGCAATATCATCCCAATGCTTTGCTTCCTTTATTGGCCCATTATATACACTGCTATTTATAAAGAGAAACCAAAAGGCAGAGAAACGGCCCCACAAAACCAAAGCTACCTTGCTGATTTCAAATTCACCAATCATTCAAGCCTGGAATTCTGGGGGCCTTACCACCTATTCCCTTAGCATGGACGGAACGCAGCTTCTTCATGGAAACTCACTCCCAGAGTTTCGGCTGCAAGCTTCATAGACTTCAAGTATTCTATAGCTTTGTCTATGATGAACACTGGGTCCTTGCCCTTAGCACCAGGAATCACACTCTCAAGAACTCTAATTGTCTCACGAATTGAGTCTTTTTTGGACTTCATCTTACCCACAGTAGAAAGTATTTCCTCTCCTTGGATCTGGCCAAGTCCGTAGCTCGATTCCATATTGTTCCCGTGCCTGTAAGATCCATACGGCTGTATCGAATTAATAACAGTCTCCATTGGTGATAATTGCCTGTAACCACCATTGAGCAATTTATGCCTTTTGTTTGAAGCATCAGAACAGATGACCTTCTCTGTTAATTCCTCCACATGTTCTTCCTTTCCATAACTCACTTGAAGATCTATTGGAGACTGACCCGTGCTTTTTACTTCATCATCCTCACCACAATCACTGTCATTATCGTCTCCGTCATCATCATTATTATCTTCATCATCATAATCATCAGAATAAAGCAATGCATTGATTTCTTCTGTGTCTTCATGCATCTCACTCTCTTCAATTATGTGATTCTCACCGATCTCTTCATGCAAGAGGTACTCGGTTGGACCAATTTGGTCCATGCTGGTTGTTAGTCCTGCTTCATGTGAACCATAACCATAAACGAACTTTTTACTGGCGAAGGGTGGATCCTGGCTAGGAGGGCAATCAGAATTATAAATTAGCTTTGTTTCATTCCCAGACTGATCAAAAATGAAGAATCCCTTCTGGGAAGACCCTGGATTTGCATTTGGCACAGCCATGCGACCACCAAATCCATAAGAAAATGCTGACTGCTTTTCGTTAAGATAAGAATTTGGTGGAGGAAATAAGGTCTGAAAATAAGGAGGTAAATGTTGAAGCACCCCATGACCTTCATTTGTTTGTTTCGCCATAACACCCTGAACACCAGAAACTGTGGACCCTGGCAATGCCATATGTCCAGAACATGGGCAAATGCCCTGATTTGTAGATGATGGTAAACATTCCTGTTGCCTGGGCTCAAGCAACATGCTCATATGATTCAAATTAGGCAGTTGCCAAGCAGAATTCTGCTCTGGGAAAAGCCAAGAGTTGTTTGCCTTAACCATCCAACCAAAAAGATCACCTATACATAAGAGAACAAAGATGATCACTCACGCATGACCTATGATTATCATAGCTACATTGATAAGCAAGACATTACTATACCTGACAGGAGATAGATGGTGCTTTGACCTTTAATGTTCAATTACTTTCTGGGTCGTTTCAAGAATGGAAAACAAAAAGGAACAGAATACTACAACTTGCGGCTTGGTAAAATGACTGAGAACCTGAACAAATCTACGTAACAGGCTTAAGCAGATGTCGAAAGTACTCAGCCTGCAGAATAGCAGTAACAAAAACACATTATTAACTATGCTTCTTACAGAACTCCAAGGAAATAAGTGTAAATCATTTCGTAACAAGCGATAAGTATAATTCTTACTGTCATGAAAGCATAGTTGAGAGATTAAAGAAAATAGGCCAGCAATTGATCATGTAAACAGTTGAAAAGAACTCACATATTGAAAGAAAATGAAAGTTGGTCACTGTATGCAATACTAACCTGGCAATCCTGTAAAGGTTGAAAGCATGCAATCACTCTAACTATTATTGTTGGTCTTCCTGCGATCCCATTTTCATGTTTCAATGCCCGAAATCTTGTTTGGCTTGCTCCTTGGCACACCATAACTACACTTGAACCTTGATGGAACCACTCAATCTAGAAGAATACCGGAGGGAAGACTAAACAGATACCCGATTTGCAGAATGTGTACACAACTAAGCTAGATATTAAAATCAGCAATGGAGGAATCTACTTTACTACAGAGTAAGAAACAAACTGAATAACTGGTGATAGAGAAGAATAATAAAGGCCAAGCTAGATATGATGATCAACAACTGATGAGAGCTATACTGCGAGGATAATATAAAGAAACTAAAAGGGGTTTGAACTTTGAGACAAACAAGGTTTTGCTTTCTAGCTTCAGATGATCCTATAAATATCAAGAGAAGTGAGAAAAAACTTATTTGATCCCATGGAAAGTTGAATGAAAATCGACAAAAGGATGAAGAACTAAAAGTTCAATGAATGCAGAACAATTTACAGAATAACCCTGCAATATAAGTTCAAGTGCACAACTTTCCGATACACGTCGACTGACAGACTCAACCAAGGCATATTGTTTCTCTTCTCTGTGATATAGAATTATCCAAACTTCTGAATTGATTTTCTATGGATATTTCACCAATTTCCTGCACATACAATACATACAACTAAAAGTAAGAGAACAGGAGACTTATCAGACCAATAACATAAAGCACACTAATAACCCAAGAATTGAGAAACCCAACAGAAACAAAGATGACCCACTAAGCATCTAAAGAGGCAGCAAGGGAAAGGAACACAGAGAAATTAAAGGAAGAAAAGAAATTGTAGACTTTGCAGTTTAGATGTTTAATCTTCTTAAACCTTTTTCCTCATTTTAAATTCTGGCAGCTGAGAAAACAAATCCACCAAAACTGATTTTTCATTTACTAGCATAGCAGAGGGTCCAGAGAAAAAAAAAAAAAAACAAAGACCAAAAAAAAAAAAAAAAAAAAAAAAAAAAAAAAAATAAATAAAAAATTTATTTTTTAAAACAAGCCCGAGGCCGAACCTGTCGAGAAAAAGCTTTGAAAAATAAAATTAAAAAAGAACAACTTTTACAGTTGAAGTGCGTAGAACAGAATGAGGGTTTTACTGTTCCCATAGCTCCCAGAAATTCAAAACTTTAAGATCCAACATCCCTATCTCTTTCCTTTTCTTTTCCCTCACTTTTCTCAGGACCCAAACGGATGATATCGACAAAATAAAATCTATGAAAAATAAAATGGAGAAGAAGAAAGCAAACACCAAATTTAAGAACAAAGAGAAGAGCTTTTAGAGAATGAAAACAAGGGATTGTGATCACGGACTTACAGTGCAAATTGAAAAGCTTGGATGGATCTGAAGGCCAAAGCTCACCGCTCACAGTCACAGCAAACACAGAGAGAGAGAGAGAGAGAGAGAGAGAGAGAGAGAGGAAATTTTAACTGTTTGGTAGTTGGACAGAAGATGTCTAAAGAAGTGAATTTGTTCAGGGAATGCTATGATTATATAGTCATTTATATGACCATTTTGCCCATCCCAGTTGTCTCTCTCCTCTGCTAGACTGCCACTGTTACTGTGAAAGGTTCTGATTGACCTCAGACAACCATTTTTTATATTTTATAATATATTTCTTTTTGTTTAATGTTTGGCAGTAACATTCAGTTCAGAGTCTTCAGAGTATTAGATTTGGCTTTACTATTTTTCGTGTTTCTTAATCAGAGCATGCAATTTTCATAGAGATTTTTTATTTAAATCACACACTTCTTTTAGTTCACTTCAATACTTAAATCACTAAGCTGTAAGTTTTATTATTTTGTAAAAAGACAAAAGAGGTCATCCAACTTAATACTTAACCCTAGTACAGCAATACACACACCACCCCCCCCCCCCCCCCCACACACCCACCACTATTCATATTAAGTTTTAGAAAAATATAAACTCCTATAAATCGTATTGTCAGAGACGTACAACATTGACGAGCATGCCTCTTTAAAATCTGCGTGGGAGCTGATGGAAAGACATGTTGATTGTTTAGCTGTAATGATCTTATTCTCTTACCTTTGTTGATTGCTTTTGTTTTTTTGTTTTAATTTATAAATACCTGATGGTTTAGTAAAGTTGTTCTCTTTCTCTAAAAAGTATTTGAAATTTCGGGTTTTTTTTTTTTTTTTTTTTTTTTTTTTGTTTGGGAACAGTAATATTATTGTCACTTCTGGAATTTCAGTATGCATCTAAAATCATAATTCTGATGTTGTTGCTTCAATAGTTGGGTTATTTTCTTGTTGCTTTTCCACTCTGATAAAAGCTTCAATGTATTCTCCATTGATGACTGATCAGATGGCCTACTCCTAGTGCAAAGTGTAGCAACCTCAAGTGTATCTCCATTGATGGTCGATGAGATGTATTCTCAATACATATATAAGAAAGGAGAAGGACCCCATACATATGCTCAAGATTTTCATCACTCACATTCAAAAGAGTTGTTGATTTCAAATGCCAATGAAAATTGAATACTCAAGAGAGAAAATGATAAAATGTCTAGTGATTAGCATTAGAGCTTGCAAAACGTACTTCCTCCTCTAAGGGTAGCTTGTGGGGTTTAAATAGGAAATTTCTTTTATTTCTTATTTTTTTCAGCTTGGGGTTAATTTAAGGGTAGTTTGGGAAGATAGTGAGGTTTTCTTAGAAATTGTGAAAATTTAAATTAAAAGTTGGGGTGAACTAAGAAAAGTGTGAGGTTTAAATAGAAAATCTCATTTTCATATCCATGAATTTTCATTATTCTGTACTAGTGCTTGTGACAATTAGTTTTCTTTTTTCTTTTTTTTCTTTTTTTAAATTATAGAATTAATAAAGATAAAAATAAGATCCTGATTTGTTCTTATTTTAAATTTTTAAATTTTTAATATTTTTATATATTATTCTTATTTATTTAATATTTTTAATTTTTAATATATATATATATATAAAGCAAAAAGCAGAGAATGGTGAAACATTCAAAATACTAGAAAATGCATTTAGTTAATTCAAACATTATGAATTGAAATTATTAATTAAATGAGGATAATATGGTAAATTCACATTTTTTTCATATTAAAACAAAATGAAATTAAAAACAAAATCAGATAATATGTTCTACTTTTATGGAACATAACTACCCATGTTATCTTTTCTTAATTCTAAAAATAAAATAAAAAATAAAAAAGAAAACCAATTGGCACATGCTCACTATCTAAAAATATATATCATTATCCAATGACATTTTATGATATTTTGAAAGTTTCACCATTTTCTGTCTCTGCCTTATATATACATAGATATAAATTAAATTATATATGTAAGCAAAACCTATTTGTTGTCCCAGTTGGTCGTTGTTGTTAGTATATTGTTTAGTATAATTTGTTAAATGCTATCTTGGCACAATATTCCAAAATTTTGAAAACCAAATTTGATGATGCAATTTTTTATTTTTTTTGCCTCTTTTTTTTTTTTTTTTTTTTTTTTTTTTTTTTTTTTTTTTTAAATAAATTAAGTAAAGAATTGTTTATTAGTTGTTTTGTCCACTTGGAGTCCACGTCATTAACAAATATGGCCCATATTTGCCACATCGACATTTAACAGATATATTAACAGTTTGGCTAACGAAATGGGTAAAATGTAGGTTTTCTGGAAATTTGAGTATAGAGTTGTAAATGTCTTACAAAATGAGTATGAACTTGAAAATAACCCCATATTTTGGGGGGTCTTTTGTAGTTTGTCCTTTTTTATATAATACATGTACATAAATTAATTTCTCCTCAAAAGTTTGTTTGTAACCTGCCTACGTTTACATTTGACCCAAAAAAAAACTACTTATGTTTACAAACTACCCTAGCAAGCTTGCTAAACATAAGTCCATGCCAAAGCATACACAACTCACCTCCTACGCATAATTTCTTCATCATTTTACCTCACTCTTGTTGCATCCACACTATACATGCTTACTAAGAAGTTTGGTTTTTAGAGCAATCTAATATTCTCCCCTTGTTCTTCTTGTATTGACTGGCAAGATGCAGCAAGGACGAAGGCAAATCCAGGCCAGCCTTGGCCGTTTCTCCCTCGCCTAATCTAAATATTGTAGCTCTACCGTTGATGATGGGAGGGCCTTTCTTAAGTAGGCATTTTGCACTTGCGACTTGTCAAGCCCAACTTTCCTTTTTTTTTCCTTTTTGGACCTAACTAGGTGTCCATGCTCTTCCGTTCTTCGCCATCAATCGTAATTAGCTAGAGGTATCCTTGCTATCACATCACAAGAGTAGCATTAGACACCTTGATGTACCCGTATGTAAACAAACTTTAAGTAAGAGGGGAATATAGCTAGCATTCTAAACAAACTTGAAGTAATATTCTTATTTAGATCGGTGCACTAGATGCTAAGTTATATTATATTTGATAAGAGTTTAAATTATGTTATATATTGAGGCTCAAAACCTAATTTAAACTCTTATCAAACCTGATATAACTTAGTATCTAGTGCACTAATTTAAATTAGGTTATACCACGAGGCCCAAAACCTTGTGAAATAAGGATAGTTTTGAAGCCAATTAAAGGTCCTATTTATTTCCATTTGCGTGAACCGTTGCTTGATGGACTTACAGTGTTAGTCAAGTCGATCCTTGGTGATGAGTAGAGACGACTTGACCTATCCCTATATAAGTTTAAGACCCTGCTCTCATTAGACACATTCTCTAAACCTAATCACATCATAAAGAGATAGTTGAAAATAGTTTTTGAGAGAGAGCAAAAGTCTTAAGTCGTTCGTGTCTTTTGCTCGTGTTGCTACTGTTGCAATTGAATGAGTTTTGAGATCGTGTACTAAAGGAAGATGGTGTCAGGTATGTCTTCTATGTATTCTAGGTTGTGTGAAAGATCATGAATACACTTATATAGAAATCTAATAAAGACACCTTGACATACACTTACGTCCTAGTTTCCTAGCCTTTAATTCCCACATTTCAGTAAATTTTTTTATTATTTTTTTTTAGTCCTCAATGTAGTATTTCTGGCAACACCCTCGA